CATGCACAGAAAGTTGCGCAAGTACCAGTTGCTCGACATACCTGCGTGGCCCGTGCGACGAAATAACTTCACGGGATTGGCAAAGTTTCAGTCACAGCAAATTATGCAAAAAATCTAGAAAGATTTAAGCTTAAATCTCGTTTATCGTTTAAAGCGACATATCAATGACTGCAACCATCGTGTGGTATACAAACCTCGCAAACTTTAAAACACGTTCTCTAGTGATACCTGCGAAAGTATTCAGTATAATTTCCGGTAAGATTTTCGCGGACAATCTGATGGATTTCTCTTACATTGTATGCTGAGACTGAAACTTTTCACCTCAAGCAATACTCCGTCGCACGGTCCAAACAAACATAGTGAGCAACTGAGCTACTAGTATATGTCCGTGTTAAAACACACGAAAGGACTCTAAAGCACACTTCACTCTGATTGGGCAGAAAAAACACAAAGATTTTCTGGCACCAATCAGATGGCAGAACGACTGCGACCGTTTGGAACTAGTCTTGTAAGACAATGTCCCCAGGGGCTCTTCATGCCCTAACTTGAAATCTTCTCAGCCCCTGGGTCTCCGAGGATGGCGATAGTACAGAAGAATCGAAAAACCCGTGCAGGGCGCTACAGGCAATTGACGCAATGTGTGGGGCAGCGTTTTTTATAACACTTGCTTTGATCTCTTGGAACTACTACGACAAACTAAATTTGAGAGTCACGCAGACATTCCCTTCTCGAAAAGCCTGTTGTATTTTCATAATAGTTTGGAGTTATGCAGCAGTTAGTGCCATTCCGATCCTCATTAGTGCTCGTAGCGCGAGGTACACCGAAATCCAAGAGGTAGGGGTAATTTTCACGGAAGATCTTAAAAACTGCACTGTCCCCAAACTGTGTGATTTGGAGAGAGGTCACGGGAGGGGTCAATTCTCATCCACCTGGTATTTATGTCTTGGCTTCTTAATCCCCATGCTGGCCACAATAACGCTGAATGCGATGATTGCGATAAGTCTCAAGAGAGGAGCCCAAGGGATAAGATCGACATCAGAGAGCCTCATCTTGGACCAAGAGACAACTCCGCAAAGTTCCATTTATGAAAAAGACAAGATGATCCGCCATATGCTGATTGTGCTCAGCCTGTTATGTGTTATTTTCTGGGGTCCTACATCTGTAATTTTCATGTTGCGATCATACAACCTGTTAGGCAATGCCTCGTCTGATAATGTTTTGAAACTATTGGTTTCATTCGAGATTTTAAAGTTCTTTAATTCCCTGCCCAACCCCTTCTTTTTTTGGTATTTCATGCCTTGCTTCCGCGACAAGTGGGGTAGTCGCTTAAATTGCTGTAAGCCACCTAAAGGGACTGTCTCGGTTGACAATAACTACGGATCTACTACCTTTATGCACGCATTGACCAGCACTGACGCATAGCACGCACAACACCGTGAATTTTAATTGACTTTGCTAGTATTACTTTTAGTTAATACTTTGTGATTAGTATTTTTAATTAGTTCTTAGATTTAGCTTTAATTATTTGTTGCTATTTGTAATTTATCTTTGTATTTAACAATTATTCGCCTCAGGTTCGGTGAATATCGTCGAATAATCCCCGAGACGAAGTCGAGGGGATTATTCGACGA